CGTCGGGACCCAGACGAACGGGACCAAACACCTTCCGCATCTCCGCGGAAAATGCAGCAAAAGAGACGCAGGCTGGAGTCTGCTGCTCCCACTCTGCAGTTCCCCATAAACGGGCTCTCCCCGTCAGATGATTCACGGCGAACGCTACATGAGCCGCCTCGGAGGCGAAGGTGTGTGGCTGCAGTGCAAATAATATGGAACCGTTTGTGAGAAAGGGGCTGCATCCCTCAGGCTCACCAGCGTAGCGTTCCCGCGTTCCCACACGAGGCTCCGGAGCGTATCCAGTCGGGCTAGGGGCTGGAGCGGATACCGGAGACATATATAAAGACCCTATCACACATGCATCCTCACTGTCACCATCATCATCACCGTTCCCATCAACATCCTCTAACACCTGACTTGAGGAGATAAAGGCTTGGATGCAACAAAACGTCCTGCAGCTAAATAGCTCCAAAACAGAGGCTATTTTAGTTGGAACACCAAACCAGGTCCAGTCATCCCCCATAACCCACATCACCTTTTCTGGAAAAAACCTACCCCTCTCCACAGCAGTTACCAACCTGGGTGTAAGATTTGACAGACATCTGACCTTTGACACCCACATCAAACACCTGTGCAAAACCTCCTTCTACCACCTCAGGAACATTGCTAAACTCCGTCCCACACTCTCCCTGTCAGATGCTGAACAACTGGTCCATGCCTTTGTTTCCTCAAGGCTGGACTACTGCAACGCTCTCCTCATCGGGACTCCTAGCGGGAGCCTTCAGAAGCTCCAATACGAACAGAACAGTGCCGCTAGGATCCTGATGAGGGTGAGAAAATACAACCACATCACACCCGTCCTTTATTCCCTCCACTGGCTTCCTGTCTCATTCAGGAACGAATACAAGATCTCACTACTGACCCATCAGTGCATCCACGGGAACGCTCCTCCATACCTCAAAGAACTACTCTCCTCACAAACCTCCACACGCAATCTCCGTTCCACAACCAACCATCTGCTTCGCCCCCCCAGGACCAAACTCCGCACAATGGGGGATCGGGCTTTCTGTGCAGCTGCTCCTCACCTGTGGAATTCCCTCCCAGACCACCTGAGGACTCCACAGATCACTAACGCCTTTAATGCCCCTTTCACACCAACGCGGTTCCAGGGCCGGTTCGGAGCTAGAGTCTGATAAGCACCGGTTTTTCCTGTTCACACAGCAGCGGAGCCGGCTCTTTTCCCCGAAAACCGGTTCTTACCAAGCTCCAAAAAATTGTCAAGAACCGCATACGTCACGCTTACGCCGAAAGCGGGGGCAAGGGCGGGATCAACAGTTTATGGCGAGTACGGCAAATAAAAGTTGTAACAAGCAGTAGCGCTGAGCAAAGTGACTAGAACGCAACCACACACTTGTAAAAAAAACACACTTTATAACGTCAGGCAACACTAACCAGGCTTCGTGTGAGTCTGTTTATTTGTACCTTACTTTGACCATCCGTCCTCTGTTATTGATCATTGTGGAGAGCAGGCAGACGTTTTGATTTGTATTATAGCAGCTATCGGATGGAATCAATACATGGGCTGCACAGGTTGTCATGTCCAACTATCACAAGTAGAATCATAATGAAAAATACGCCGGTAAAATGTGCCTGTAGAAAACGGCTTATGCCACAATAGGATAGCAACAAGTAGTCAAGATAGTCAGTTTAGCTTCGGTTGCTATGCTAACATCACCCACATTTTATACCAGAGAAACTTTCATAACAGCGTTGTGATGCCAAACAGCGGGCAGCACTGCAGCGGTCGGTAAATGCCGCTGAAACACATGACTAAACAATGAACCACGGCACTCTGGAGAAAAGTACAAGGGTTGAGAAGTAGTTATTTAATTTAATCTGGCTTCGTATGATTAAAAGCAACAGGATCATCGACCCGACGCAGTCCCCCATTGTTGTTGTAGTGAGCGCCGTTGGGGAGAAAATCAGCGACGTAAACGGTGACGTCATGACACAGCCGCGGCAGCACCAGTCGGGCTCTGGGCGGTGTGAACAAAACGGGGGCTGAAAAGAAAAACCGGTTCCGAACCAGAAGAGCGCAAGAGGAGCTAGAACGGGAACCGCGTTGGTGTGAAAGGGGCAAGAGAAAGGCCTAAAAACCTTTCTCTTAAAAAAAGCCTTTGATTAAACTTTTGTTTTCTTTTTTTTCTTTCTATTACGCCTCTTGTAGCACTTTGGGATTGCTTTTAGCATTGAAGGGTGCTTTACAAATAAAATGTATTATTATTGTTACAGAAACAGAGAATACTGGAGAGATATGAACATTTTTAAGAACTTATTTTCCTGGAACAAAAAATAAGAGCAGCTTGATGGCAGAGGACCCCCCCTCACACAGCAGGCACACTGTGGATATTGTCATTAATTATTCAAATCTGAAGCAGGAATTTCATGGTGACTAAAAACCAAGAACTGTGTGTTTTCAACTAGCAAATCTCCAAACCCTATTATGTTTGTTATATAAAAGACATCTTTATATAGTTATATAAGGAGTAGAACTGTGGTTTTTAACTGTATTTATCATTCTTTATTTATCAAACATTTAAACAGCGTAATGGGGTACAGCTGCAGCACGTTAAGCAGCCGTCTGTGCAATCTAACGTTGTCAGCATATTTAGGATGTTGTCTGTTGATAGTTGGGGTGTTGTGAATCAGCATTTTTGTTTTACTTCTGCCTTGGAGACTTAATCTTCTTCCCCTTATATACCCTGTTTTCACAGGGATGAGCGCTGTACACAGTGTTTCCCATGCATTGATTGGCGTCCTGCCACAATATCACAATTGACTGCCAAATAGTGATTCTCTATTTTCTTCTCTATACAACATGGGTTAAGTCTTGATTCATCATGGTGCATTGATTGTCTTTCTCTCTCTCTAGAAAGATAGAAGTTAATGTTGGTGTGGTTTCTGTCGTCGTTCCGCATGCTGAGGTAGTCGATGTTACACCATGTCAGGCAAACACCAGCTACATTAAATCAGAAATACTGTTAGCAGTACTTCAGGTATTATGGATTTAAACCCAATGCTAATTGAGAAGCCAATAAAGTGAATAAGGCAATCTGTAACTATTAGGTATGCAGCCTCACATAGTTCCAGCCTATCAGGAAGCTTTGTGAAGCCGGCCCCCCTGCCAGCAGACTGTAGCAGGGACGAGCCCACCAGCTGGAACCCCAAGACGAGATTTATATTTAGAGCACTGTTAAACCCCAGGCTGGCATATTCCCTATGGGCTGATTCTGGGTTCACTCCTTATTGCCCCCTCATTTAGACATTAGATTGGTTAACATTTAAGCAAACTCTAATTTAGAATGTATATCTCTTTAATGATATCGATATATTTGTGGTTTTGGATGTGGATTGACTCTATGGACAGTTTGTTAGTGTCGGAGATGATGGAGGGATTTATTAGCGAAAGTGAGTTGAATCTGTCTAACTTACAATCTTCTGTTCTGTCAGCTTCATGAAAGCCATGATTGTTTGACATTGAAGGGTTCAGACTTTTTGGAATGTTTGATCTCTGTAGGTTACCTGCTGTCTTTTCTTGGCAGAGTCCACTTCATCTTTACATCATAGCCACTTAACCTGTAAAGCCCGAGAGACCCCGGTACTGTGGCACTGCCGCAACATCTTGCAGGAAACAGTGTCTGAGGGCATGTTCATTTAATAAACTGTGAATGTTTTATATCCATGTAACGGGAAGAAACTCATCTAACTGATCATTTTTATTTTATCATTATCATTTTCAAAAGAAAACCCACAATGCTAACATTGAGCCTCTGAATTAGCAACGAGCGAAAAAATGCTAACACCTTACTGCACCGAAAATCACTCACAAAACCTTATTATTTATCTCTTCTCTACATCCATGACATCGTTTCACATCGTGAGGTGACACAGAATCGATGGGTACCCACATTATCACTGAATTATACGAATTTGCGACGTTATAACTTAAGCAAAAACGGACATCAAAACAGGTGACGCTAGGTACCTAAAAATGCTAACATTTTTACCTTGGCTCTGTAGTCTCTCCAAAGTGGTCTTCAATGGCATTAAAACGATAGAAACGCTGCTGAAGTTAATCCATAGGTTAATCCAATGTGTCTGTGTCTCTGAAATGATTTCTGATAATCCATAAGCAATAAAACTACTTTTCCGTTTCCAGATGTCAAAGCTAGAGATAGGTTCACTCTGATGCAAAACTGCATACTTATTATATGTTGTACTTTGGATTCCTAAAGCTTTTAGTCTACCTTACCATCATCCAAGGGTAGTTTTCACTATAAGTAAAAAAGAATTTTTGGACGGACACTATAATTTACAGTTTTTTACGATGTCAAATCTGAATTTTCTTTAAAATAAAAAACATCTATATTGATTCTGACTTTTCTACATCCAACTCACAGGTTTATCATTACTTTGAGAAAAAAGATTATTAATTTAACCCTTTTAGAAGGGAAGATATGGTCATTTGTTCTGGGAATGTCATTTTCGAGCCTGAGACCTGAAAAACAGGCTCAGGGCTTAACAGGTTAAGCCACATTGAGGTTACACTCAGGCTTATAGATGGTTCCAGGCTGCATAAAGGTATGGCCAGATCAGATTTCATAAAAGAAAATGTACTTGTGTGCTCATATTCAAGATGGAACAGGTAACAGGCAAAGCTGGGAAAAGTAGCAAGGCCGTTGTCTTTGCTTTCTTTCATTATCCATGCACTCACTGCAGCCAAGCACTCTTCCATTTTGCCTCCAAATAAAGTGTGCTAAAACGTCCTATTGCTTTTCCTTAATGGAGAGGATCGTTGTGAATGTGTCAGGTTGTAACATTAACTGTTGTGAGAAAGGTCAATGAGCTGTGGATGGTGAAGTGATGAGTGTTCATGAATCATGGATGTTGTTCTCTGTCAATGTACTGTATCACACCAATTTCTCTAAAGAATACACACACAGACACATAAAGAACTGCTGCAAACTGAGAGTCACTTTAACTGTTTCTCAAACACACACACACACACACACACACACACACACACACACACACACACACACACACACACACACACACACACACACACACACACACACACACACACACACACACACACACACACACACACACACACACACGTATACCTTCACCTCAGACAGATGTTTTTTTTTTTTTGTGGAAATTCTCTTTTTATTCAGCTTTTCCTCATGTTTACAGTCTTAGATAATACAATAGTCTCTGTAAGCCTTCTGTAGTTAACAGTGAAATCAGAAATCAAACTTTCATATTTGTGGATAATACAGAGGCAGGCCTCACTGACCTTCAAACATCTGTCGGCTGCATGGCTGAAGATTAATGCCCCGACCCTTACAGAATATTCTTAGTTATAGCCTGTACAATGCTTCTTTAGTGTGCAGAACGTGATTATAGTCTTAAAGGTCCCATGTCATGCTTTTCCGGTTATTACCCGTCCCCTTGTGTGTTATGAAGGTTTTTATGCATGTAAACGTTCTGCAGAGTCAAAAACCCTCAAAGTACACCCTGTAGCGAGTAAAACTCTAACACACCTCCCCAAAACGCCTCATTGGAGATTTCTCATTTTCCATTGTTTACTTCCTGGGTATCGCTACGTAGGGATACCCAGTAGCCACGCCCAGAGCTCTATGGCCGCACCCTCTGCCAGCCTTTCACGTAACAAAGCTTCCCAAAACCTTTCAGCGATTCATGCCGGATATGTACAGCGTAGGGCACTGAAGAACGATGCTGTTCCTACTTTGTTTGGACCAGCGGGAGATTCAGGTACACAACCTGTAAGTATTCATTGTTGTTTGTGTATTTATGATGTTTAAAACAAACAAGGTATCTACTAGGGATGCCAGCGATTATTCGATTATTCGAATATTCGTTACAGTCTCCATAATCGAAGATTATTTTTCAAATTCGATTTTATTTATATATCTTTTTATTAATATTTATGTTTTTCTTTTTTTTTTTCTGGCTTAGTTTCAACCAAAATATAGACTAATGCTAATAATAGTAATAGTATTAATAATTGTAAATGACCATTGATCACACCACCAGTTTGTTTTACTGTAAACTTGGAGGAAGCCAGCAGCTACACACCGACCCCGCCCCCCCCCCCCTCCCTCTCCGACACACGTGCGATTGATTTATTGGTGACAGAACAGTGAGAACACAACTAAAGATGAACAGAGCGGCACGTCCACAGAAGAGTTCCTCGTGGAACTACTTCGAACTGACAAGTGCAAATGAAGTGAAATGCAAGCTCTGCGAAAATATTTTTTTTCTTTCTCTCCCGCGGGGGGGGGGGGGGGGTCGAATAATCGATTCATATTCGCCAGGGCTGTCCGATTTTCGATTTTGATCATGGTCAGTTTCTGGCATCCCTAGTATCTACCACGACTGTATAAATGGGCAAACGTTTTTCTACGTTGAAATGCTCTCCGCAGACCCATGCTCACAGCGTTATAAACCTTTTTCTTACTCAATATCAAGCCACACTTATTGTTTTTACTTCGGCTGTGAGTGTTTGTGTGTTCTCAGGATGAGTTTCGCTTGTTCTAGCTGTATCGCCAAGCCTGTCTGCTCCTCCAGCAGTGTGTGTGTCTGTGTGTGTGCGAGCAGTGCTAACAGGGCTAACTAAGTTGCTAGCGTTTCCATATATCAACTCCAATGTTAGCAGATGGCCTTACATGTATCTCATAGCTGGAGAATGTCTGCAATCACACACGAAATACTCAGACAGTATACTCAGGGTGATTTACCGTACGGTCAGTACATTATAGTTGGCGTTCCTGGCGTGTGTGCTACCGAGCTACCGTTCATAGCGTGTATGCTACATAGCTAAACAAGAAGGCTAGCTAGAGCTAGACATGCTAGGGAAAACATTGTTTTCATGCCAGCTACAATGAATGACCGAACGTAGCAGACTACCCGTATAAGATTGCAATTGTAAACATGTTCTTGCTAGCCTAGACTAGCTGTTGTTCATAGTAGATTGGCATATTACACTGAACAACTAGCAAACGTAGGTTAGCATATTAGCTGGCAAGCTAACTGTGTTGATTAGATAGATACACACTCCTACCATAACTACTACTAACTAATCTAAAACAACTAAGTTTCTCTAATATTTTGTGATTTGCATTTGATTTCGTCCAGCCAGATCAGGAAACTCCTGGCGTATCTGGCGGACAACACACACACGGGATGACCACTCTGATGCCTTGTCCTAAAAAGCCCCAGCACCAGTTTACAGAGCTGCGATAGGCAAGATGCCGAAAACGCCTATACGGGGAGGAATGGATATACAGTGTATATATGTATATTTACACATGTTCATTTTGTACATTTCTAAAAATAAAGTTTGATGGAAATACTTAGTATCCTTTCTTCCCTGAATTATTTGCTCCTATAACATATCATTCATATATAGCAAACCATGATTTGATTTCTCATCAAACAGTAGTAGTTTATTACAGGTAAAAATAACTTACTCTTCTATAACAACAGTTGTAGGTACAGTTCGGTTAGTTAGCGTATAAAATATACGGCTGTACCGAGGCCATTATAAGACTGATGTTCCGCTGAGAGCGAGCCGAAAAAAGCACTGTTAGACATGAGCGGAGCTGACCAATCGGAGCACATTGGGCACACAGGGAGGGGGGGGCAAGAGCTGCAACGAGCCATTTAGGACAGAGAGTGAATACCGGTGAATAAACATACTTTACAGAGATGCTGTATGCGAAACCAATGTGAGTTTGGAAAATTGCACAGTATAAATCTATTTTAGTATACCTCAACAATGGAATTATGTTCAGTGGAAATGGCCATGACATGGGACCTTTAAGTCTCTCTCTTGTGGGAGCCAGCTCTTCGGCTTCCTCTACTGAAAATAAAAACTCACCCGTTTATCGGCAAACAGCAGCTTTCAGTTCACTTCCATTCACGCTGAGTCCTTGTGCCTAAAGGCCTCTAGCTTCTCCTTGTAGTTAACATTCCTGCCGGCTCTGTCCCGGGTCCCCGGTCTCTTGCTGGTGCGCCAAGTAATCAGCTGGATCCGTTCCAAAAGTGAATCTGGGTGCTTAAAGGCCCAGACACACCAGGCCGATATCGGCCGTCTTCGGTTGTCTGGCGATGAAGCGTGCCCTGTCGCCCAAAGTCAATTTGGTGTGTCCCGAACCCTCGGCCGTGACACGCCTTATTTGGCCTTTCACGGTCGACACACGGCCGATTCAACATGTTGAATCGGCCGTGTGTCGGACACAAGCTATCGGGCCAAGAAACCACTCTGATCAGCTGTTCAGCTAGCAAATGAGAAGCGAAACGGAAGTGAGGGACATAAACAAACGATTTAAGAAGGCACAGGACAGCAGCTAAACCCCAGCAGGTGATACTTAAAGACATCAAACATAACCCTTAAATGTCCTCTCTTACCTCCCACACATAGCAGGGACATCTCTGATATCGGCGGGAGCGTCCCCGGCTGTCCTCTGCTGAGAGCTCCGTGATTTGTTTGATCAAGTCCGGTTTTTCATCTCATCGGTTTATTTGTCAGTATAAAGTTGCAGGATTAGTCTCAAGTACCTCAACATTGTCCTTAAGTACAGTGTCTAAGTAAATGAGATGCTGTCTACTGCTGTTCATTTACCTATTGTGAGTCGCCTCGGATAAAAGCATCACATGGAAATGTAAATTTAGCAAGAAGTGGCCATTATTACATTGCTGACTCAATAAACTACACACACGCCAGAACACTGCGATCATCAGATGCAGGTCTATTAACTGTGATTTTATAGTATGTCTGCACTTTATGTGCTCATTTCATCATTCATGTATTTTTATATTCTAAAACATGTTTTCGATGGACGAGAGTGAAAATGGAACGCACACGCTATTTGTTGTTTGTTTATATCAGTCTGTTCTTCTTCTCTGTCTTCCAGTTGTTGCCTATTTTGAATGACGAATACACACTACCGCCGCTTGCTGGTAAGGAGAGTTATTGCCACTCACGCATGCGCAGTTCGTACGTGCTCGGCTGAAGTCTTTGCGGTGTGTTCCAGTGCGACACATGACCAAGACGCAGGAGAACACGGCGATGCAACTGTCGGTGTCGGCGAGTTCTCTGGTGACGGCCTGGTGTGTCTGGGCCTTAATGACCGACACCGGGAGCCCCCTCTTTGCCATATCATCAGTCGCTTCCTCCACCGATCTGTATACGACAATTCCCTCCTCATAGACTCTTAACCTGGCCGGGAACGGAGTTTGAAATCTTATCTTCCTCTCCCTCAGGACCATTTTTGCTTCTGCATACGCCCTTCGCTTTCTTAACACATCAGGCACGTAGTCATGATCCAGATTTACCCTCCTTTCGAGATGTTGAAATCCTCGCTTTTGCCAGGCCAGTCTCAGCAATTCTTCTTTCGTCCTGTAGCTTGACAGTTTGACTATGATAGACCTCGGCGAGGCTTCCCCGGGCGGGTTCGGCATCAGGGCGCGGTGCGCTCTCTCAACTCGTAGTTCAAATGTAGCCGCGAGGTCCAAACCCTCCCTCAGCAAAGCCTCCACAAAAGTTCCCATCGACGGGGAATTATCCTCTGCCCTCTCTTTAACGCCGTGGATTCGGATATTTTCCCGTCTGGACCAACCCTCCAGGTCCGTTAGCTTAGCATCCAGATGCACCTGCAGTTGTAGCAGCTCCGTCACCGCCTCCTCCGCCACCTGTAGCCGTGTTTCAGCCGCCTCAATCCGCCCTTCTGCCTCGGCAATTCTAGTGTTAGTCTTGTTTATTTCTTCACAAATCTCTTTCAGCTGCTGACCGTTGTCTTTCCTGAACTCTCTCAATTCTTTCAGTATGAGGCTCATGTCCGCTCTCCCAGTTTGGTCTTTCTCGAGGTGCGTTGGAGTGTCGTCGTCCCCCACCACACTGCTAGCAGAAGAAGCTAGGCTAGCTCTGTCTCCGTCAAATAAATCAGTCTGCATTAGTTTTTTACCCTTTTTTTTAGGCATTCTCAAGACCAACACTCTTAAGCCAAACTGTAAAATAAATGTTTTATGTATTCCGGTTGTCGTTGGTAACTTTTAGCACCGAACGTCGGGAGCACGTTCTTTAAGCAGCCATCGCGTCGCTCAGGGGCGTCGCCTGGACCTGAAAACATTCGGGTCTTAGCCCACAGTGGCGGCGGCCGCGGCGCTACAGTGGAATTTTTTACTTCAACACTCCCCACACGCACACAGTACACCCGCGACTGTTACAATGAAGGCTCGATAATCAGCTCACGGCATATAGGCAGGGGTAAAGTGCTATTTTTTATGAGTGGGGGGCGGACCTCACCTCCTCTAGGGGGTCCGGGGGCATGCTCCCCCGGGAAGATTTTTTTTTAAATATTGAAGTTAAAAGCATCAATCTGGTGCACTTTGAGAGCAAAATGAAGAGATCGATGGATACCTCTCTCAGCACCCATATGAAACAGAACTGTAAGCAGATTTTCTTTTTCTTTATGGATATTTTACAAATCACTCCCCTTTTAAACTCTATTCTTGTTTTACTGACATATAGTATTTCATAACTGTTTTTCCTTTATTCTCTTATTTTTTTTATAACTATAATGATCATATGAAGGTGTGCCGCGGAAATAATATTTTGAATAATTTGTGACCAAACCGTTTGAGACCCACTGAGATAACTTAGACTAAAGTTAACTATCTAAACACTCAGAGAGTCCTTTAGCTCAGGGGTTCCCAACCTTTATTGTGCCAAGGACCGGCAGATACATTAAAAAAAAATCGCGGACCGGTTGTCAATTTTAACTGATTTTAATATTTACTCACCACCAGCAGGTAGCAACAGAGGCTAATTGTATGTAACAGCCTGAACAAATACTAGAACAATATGCATCCAAAACATATTAACAAAGTTTAAAAAAGAACCAGTGTTGTTTTTTGGTTTTTCGGAAAACCAAAAAAACGACGTTATTCTGTTTTAAACCAAAACGGGAAAACAGATAAATCAACGTTTTGGTTTTTGATTTACGGATAATCCAGTGAATGCTGGGAAAACGAGGAGAAGGCGCATTATGAAGGAGATGTCCGGTCGCCGGTGTGTGTGTGTGTGTGTGGTGTGTGGTGGTGTGTGTGTGTGTGTGTGTGTGTGTGTGTGTGTGTGTGTGTGTGTGTGTGTGTGTGTGTGTGTGTGTGTGTGTGTGTGTGTGTGTGTGTGTGTGTGTGTTGTGTGTGTGTGTGTGTGTGTGTGTGTGTGTGTGTGTGTGTGACACTGGCATTTGTTTTCAGAAGATATTATGATAGTGTCGTTCGTTCCGGTGCACTCCGACAGCATTTAGCACTACATCGAGATTAAGATTAAACTAATTTATTTTGGGAACAGCCGCATATATGGAGTTAGCCATATGTGTGTAAATTACTGTTCATAAACATTTTAAAACAAATGCCGGTGTCGGACAGACACAAACACACCGAACACACAGAGCTGAGCTGAGCAGAGCACATACACACACACATCATGCGCCTTGGTGACTGACTGGACATCTCCTTCATAAATCTAATAAAAGGGGGAGTAATCGGGCAGTTCGATGTGTGTAGAGATGTGTGTAGAGGTGTGTGTGGTTAACACGTAGCAGCCTGCAGTCACTCTTAAGCTGATGAAGTTAAACACAGCGAAGGCGGTGCGTAAAAAGGCACAGCTCTTTACCCGCTGTTGCTGCACTTCTCAGAGGCGGAGTATACGTCCCGCTGCCTCCTGATGCTGCAGCCATTTCATGAAGTGAAGGAGGTGTTCCTTCTATAAAACAGCTGCGGGCAGCAGATACCGTGAGAGTCCCGGACATGAATTCATAGATCAAGGCAGACTGGTTTACTCTCCTGTTTTGCCAATCTGGTGCTTAAACAAATAGCTCTACATCCCTGGCCGACATGTCCTTAAAATGAAGTCCGAGTTTGAAATATATCTCAAATAATGTATGCACCATTTCCCCACATAAATATAACAGTCTGCAATCAAACGGTTGTCTCCTGTGCGCTCCTCTTCCTACTTGGCGCACCGGTAACATTCTCGTGCGCACAAGAGGCTGAGACCTATAGGCTGAGCCGCCGAATCCCTCGGAACATCATAAAAGCCATTTTCAAAACGGTTTTTCTGGTGAAAGATTAACTAGCTACTGGATGAATAATATGACTGGTTGGCAAAAGAGTGCGAAAATTAACACTTTTTGAAAAAAATATTATGATAAAATATTTTTATATATTTATAATTCTGCAAATATTACGATAAACTCACAGCTATTTCGCGGCCCGGGAGTAACACCTCCGCGACCCGGTACCGGGGGTTGGGAACCCCTTCTTTAGCTCACTGAGCCTCTCAGTCTGACAGGAGAGGACTCTCCTCCAGCTTGTTGTGGAACAAACAGCTCCTTATGTCCGTTAGTGCAGCTAGCTAACCAGATGCTAACAACACGGTCCCTGCTGGCCACCGGTCCCTCTCTCTCCCTCTCTCTCTCCCCTCTCTTCTCCCTCTCTCCCCTCTCTCTCTCTCTCCCTCTCTCTTCTCTCTCTCTCTCCTCTCTCTCTCTCCCTCTCTCCCTCCCTCTCTCTCTCTCTATCTCTCAATCACACTAAATGCGCTATTGCCACACACACACACAGAGCCGAGCTTGAATGACACAAGCACACGTTTATTTCCATGCAACTCTCTGATTGGTCTGGTGTCATGCCTCTGTTGCATTCACTGAACACGGGAAATTACAGTCCTGCCGTCCTCTCTTGTATCATGATGAGGTTCACGTAAAGCACGGTTAATGTATTATATTATTGAGGGAGAATTGTCCGGGGCTACAGAAAAAACATTCGGGGCTAAAGCCCCGGATGCCCAGGCCAGGCGACGCCACTGGCGTCGCTCACCAAACCGGAAGCCACATACAGATGTTTTTATCGGAGCTTGGTATTGATGGTAGCTGCTGCTGTGGATCCATGCGGTCGATACTCTGTCTTCATGAATGCGTTGTTCTTTTTTTTCACATCAGAAGAGGGAGGGAAAATAATTAGAGGAGTTTGCTATAAAGAAAAACTGCTCCCTGAAGATTAATTAGATCTATGTCGGATATGTAATGTTTTTAATACGATAGAGTGTATTGCATTGTAAACTTTAAGAAAATGCAATGGAGTATTTATATGTATTTTTTTAAAACAAGAAAAACATATTGGCTCTACATTTCTCTATCTCCCTTTTTAACATGGCTGCATGGGATTCCTCCTTTGCTGCAACACACTGAGCTTTATGCAAATGAATGTGTGATGACAATCCAATAAACAATATGCAATGAGAGTAAAAGCTCTCTGGTGACTCTTGAAGCAAGTGCTAGCTAGTTTAATTTCATTTATTCATAGAACTGGTAGATTTGCTGAAGCTAATGCAAAAGGCATATTCACCAAAAACATCTATGATGATGTTTTAGTTCTTGGCATTGATAAACTCCCTGCTGACATCATCAAATATTTGATGGAATGTATGTGGCCAAACCTGATAAGTACAATGAATAAATGCAGAAAACAAAACCCAGCAGAGGAAGAGATTGTTTTGGAGTTTTGAATATGTATCGCGGTAATGATTGCCGTCTAGACTCTGACCTTGTCAATCCGAACAGGGAAACACCAACAAGCAGTAAGTGCTGAGAGATGATAAAAAAAAGTATCCTTATTACAGGTGGATGCTAGGTGGAGGTAGGGATTATAAAGAGATATATAAACTTAAATAAACCGCCCTGACTTAGAGACTGCATTTTTTATTCAAATGTTTTTTATATTCGAGAAACACTGAAACTCTATTTATTCCGGTACAAATATTTACTGTGTCAAATACTGTCACACTACCACGCACATGCAAACTGATGTAGTAACGTGACTTGTCCTTAAAAAATAACAACCTACTCTATGTCTATCTCTATAACCATAGGCCTTTTAAATTAAGTTGATGAAAGGAAGCCAAAACTGTTTTGGGGTTCAAAGGTTAGGATGCAAATACTTTCAGATCTCAATCAACGAGTGGGAAAAATACTTAAAATGAGCAGACAGAGGGCTAAATGTGCACTCTAAAAACGAAACCAGTGGCTTTGTAAATATCACAATAATAAAAAGCTATACTACCTTAATAAAATCTCTAAATATCACCAAAGTAATTGTTGAGTTGGACATACCAAAATAAATGCAGCAGTTAATTTTGTCTTAAATTATTACTATTATTTAAGTTGATTACATGAAAAGAAATGAGTATTTGACTAACAAATTATATTTTTAAGATATCCTTAACCTGTTTAGCCCTGAGCCTGTTTTTCAGGTCTCAGGCTCGAAAATGACATTCCCAGAACAAATGACCATATCTTCCCTTCTAAAAGGGTTAAATTAATAATCTTTTTCCTCAAAATAATGATAAACCTGTGAGTTGGATGTAGAAGAGTCAGAACAATATAGATGTTTTTTATTTTAATGAAAATTCAGATTGAACATTGTAAAAAACTGTAAATTATAGTGTCCGTCCAAAAATTATTTTTTACTTATAGTGAAAACTACCCTTGGATGATGGGTTAGTAGACTAAAAGCTTTAGGAATCCAAAGTACAACATATAATAAGTACCCTGTATCAAGATTGATGCAAAACAAGTGACATTTGACCTTTTTAGAGAGGTTTAGCAACAACAAAAAACTCCACCTCTGAGGTGATTTGGGTGGAAATGGGGGTTTCTGGAACCCATTGGTCGATTTTGGTGATTGACATCTCTTTCTGACCGTTAGAGCCAATGGAATCGAAGGGGAATCTCCCCACTCACTAACATTGTACAACAAAAAGGTGGGGGCTTCGCGCATTCAGAATTGCATCAGAGCGAACCTATACTGTAGCTCTAACATCTAGAAACGGAAAAGCAGTTTTATTGCTCATGGATTATCAGAAATCATTTCAAAGTGACACAGACACATTGGATTAACCTATGGATTAACTTCAGCAGCGTTTTTATCGTTTTAATGCCATTGAAGACCACTTTGGACCAGACTACGACTAGGGATGGTTACCGAGCCCCGGTATTAAACGGGCCCCGGGGCTGAATTATTAAAGACCGTGGTACCATTAAGCTCCGACGTTATCGGTCTTTTTATCGGTACTGGAGACATCTAAAAAAATATGTCATATGTATTATTGCTACACAAACATTATATTGCAGTTTTAGTGTCGCCAACTCCGTTTCTAATATGCAAAAGACTACAAAATGCATCTATGATTATTTTTTTGTATTTTCGATCTCTCTCCCCCCGTCTGTGTGTGAGGGGGCGGGGCAGTTTACACACACGCAGCTGCTACATGCAGCAACACACACACATGGAGGAGATGGCGGAGAGAACGCGCTCCGAGGTGTGGTTAAACTTTACCCGTCTCGATGTGGACAATGCTCGTTGCCAAAAGTGCAATAAGAGTTTAGCATGTAAGGGCGGTAACACGAGCAATTTGTCTAAACATTTAGCAAAAGTGCACCACATTCAGACGGAGAAATGCACCGGGTTCGACTGTCTTTCTAGTAGCTCTGTAGCCCCATCCACGAGTAACGTTTCCACGTCAGGTGTTATGTATGCTAGCAGCAACACACGGAGTTAACTCAATTATACAAACATGGGTTAAAGGTTAGAGGTAACTGAGTTATTTATTTTGTTAAAGTTTCAGCAATTCTGTTTACAGTTCTGTCATCAGATTATTTAATACGATTTGTTAAAACATTGTTATTTCTTTTGATGTGAAATATTATTTAAATAAAAAGCAATGTTAATTTTGTTCACAATTTGTTTATTTTTTTCTCCAAAAGTACCGTTAAAAGACCGGATCGATAAGCGGTATCGATAAAAGTAGTAGTACCGTTAAAGCCTTAACGATACCCATCCCTAACTACGACACAAGGTAAACCATGTTAGCATTTTTAGCTACCTAGCGCTACATGTTTTGATGTCTGTTTTTGTTTATAAAGTCGCAAATTCGTATAATTGAGTGATAATGAGGGTACCCTTCGATTCTGTGTCACCTCACGATGTGAAACGATGTCATGGATGTGCAGAAAAGATAAATAATAAGGTTTTGTGAATGAATTTCGGTGCAGTAATCTGTTAGCATTTTTCGCTCGTTGCTAATTCAAAGGCTCAGCGTTAGCATTGTGGGTTTTATTTTGAAAAAAAAATGATCAGTTAGATGAGTTTCTTCCCGTTACATGGATATAAAACATTCATAGTTTATTAAATGAACATGCCCTCAGACACTATTTCCTGCAAGATGTTGCGGCAGTGCCCCGGTACCGGGGTCTCTCGGGCTTAACAGGTTAATATCTTTGGTAAATTTCAGTCAAAATATTTGAGAATTGGCTAATTATACTGATCAGTTTCAGGAACTGCAATTATTACTCATTCCAAATCAATATTCTTCATCTTTAACAACAACTTAAGACATTGAGTAAATTACACTAAACGTCATGACGTGGACCCCATTAACAATCGCGCACAAATACAGTGTGCTCATGGGAAATCTACTTTTCTATCTGCGCCACATGTGGCAACCGCAATAAGCAAGGAAACACCACGAAGAGAACCACCAGGAAAACTCCCTGCAAATCCTGGTAAGTAGCCAGCTAGCAAAAGTTAATGAAATATTGACCCTGTCTTTGTGCATATACAACTTTATAGGGTGTAATTATCTAAATACTGTCACACTTGCAGCCATGCTGTCGTAGGTCTAGCTAGTTTCTCTGTCCGCTTCTGCACACGCATAGCAGAGAGGTGGACACAGTCAACCAGGTGAAGTGAAGAAACATTAGCACCTGCTTTGTCCGCAGTTGTTGTTTTAACGTACCTAACCAACCAGCTGTCTGTGTAGCATAGTTAGCTGTTTCTTTTAAGACCCTTTTACACTGTTATTCAGAAATGCTGTAGTAAAGAAGATCCGCCATTACGTCGACTTTTTAATACTTAATCAGGCAATGCCAGCATAATGCTGCCCCAGTTTGTGATATTAGATGGCATGCCGGCCTGACGTGTAACACAACAGCGCCGGCGAATATGTGTGTCTGCAAGTCCCGCCATGCCGGAATAACGGCGCAACAGTCTCGCCTTGAACAGGCTGTGAAGGGGGCTTTGCCGACACACCCGGTTACTAAGCAATGCTTATTGTTTAGGTATCCCTGATAAGGAGGCAGTCATATAAGCAGCTCTGCATGATCACCTGCAGCTCTGCCGCTGTGAGGGGACCGGTGAGCAGAGCACACGCTTCAAGTTAGACCTAACACATTTAGCAATCTTATCTACCTCTGGAAGTAACCAAACTAGTTATAAATATGTTTATTCTTTACTGTCGGGTCACTCATTACTGAATTAGCGGGCTGCATGAGACTAAACTGACGGGCTGTCAGGAGAGAGAGAGAGGAAAAGAGAGCACCCCGTTTATTTCTCTCGTGTTATTATCCGAAGTTACTGTAAACGTTTGAATAATGTAGTTAATCTACTATTAGTTGTTTGTGTAAATGTATTACTTATGTTGTTGATTTTTGTAGAAGCGCCGATAAAAGTATGGATAATGTAAAGATAAATGCACCTTGTTTGTGTAAGGTGGCTGTTAGTTTATTTGGGTGATTACTGTATCGTGCAAGTGATTTCAGATAACGTCTGGCTACTGTATCCGCGGCCCAGCAGCTGTTACTAGTCTTGGCTATATGCTTATGAAACTGTTCATTATCATCATTATTCTAATAAGGCATTGCATTTTCTTAAGAGGAGTGGCCTACTTGCCCAACTTATGTTTTGTCATATTTATGGGGGAACACTTGATGATGGCTAGAGCAAGTAAAGTTGCATTTTTTTGTGAAGCATGTTAAATATTTTCAATATCTGTTTCACAGCACCGACTGCGCTAACGGAGAGAAGTTGAACGAAGATAACAAGAAAGAGGAGGTAAATCTCATTATTTTATTAAACACTGAAACGACGGTGCCAACATATTAGTTTGCTTTATACAAGTTTAAGAAATCGGTGAATAAGCAAAATTAGTTGCACCTTGATTTTGACCATGTTTGATTGCAAAGGCCAGGAAGCATTTGTTAGAAACATAAACAGTGACTATATACAAATATCTTGGACTTGATAATACAAACTGTTACTAATTATATGCCTGACACATTGGGTCACGGATATTAAGCATTTACTTCTGCATTGTCTACTGCAATTGAAGATCCTGGCTCTGAACACTGCAATTCCAATCATTTTTATTGACTGTTTTCCAAATGTTTGTGCAATTACAGTATATGTTCCATTAACTATAGTTTGGAGTAGATGTAATTATTGGCATCAATGAGTAAATACAATTAGGTGTCATTTTTAAAGCTCTGTATGATAAAACATATTAGTCGAAAGTAGCATTAAACCAGTCTGTTCGCTCCATGTGATAACACTATTATCCTCACTTTTTTAGGTTGCAGCATATGGGATGGCAATGTACGCTCTGCACATTTGTGGCTTCAGCGAAAGGGTCACTTCTCAAGCACTATCGATTGAAGCACGGTACCTTTGGTCGTGGATATTCAGTACCCTGTCTTCATTTAAACTGCCCTTGCTCCTTTAAGACATGGGGTGGCCTGCGAACACACTTGTATAGATCCCACAATTCGCAGGAAACTGACGAGTGTGAAGTTGTGCAGTCTTTAACATGTACAATTTGTGACTCATTTTATCCTAATACAAAATACTTTTTTCAACATATCAATTCCCACTTGAAAATACATGAAACCATAGAATGTGCTTTTGATGGATGTGATTTCAAGACAAACATATATGGGACTTATGCGACACACAGAAGTAGAAAACACAGATCCTATTCATGGAAAGATGTTAAGACTGAAGTGATTGCAAAACATCCAGGGTTGGACTCGCATGGTCATGTGGACATAGATACCACCTTAGAGCTGGGTTGTGAAAGGGATACTTCAAGTGAAATAGTGAAAAATATTGCTTCTCTCTTGTTAAAATTGGAAAGCATCTATAATGTCTCTGGCAAATGTGTTGATGACTTGGTGGAACAGCTTCAGTTTATCTGCACATCCTCAACTCAGTATATTCCAAAGTTAGTTAATGATATTTTTACAAAGAATAACTGTGCTGTTGATGAAGCAATTGTCAGTGAATTGGTAGACAAACTGTGTCACTCTAATCCTCTTAGTGCAGCCTTTGGTCCTGAGGGACCATTTTCTTCCAAATTTAGGAGGGGAAAATATTTTAAGGAAAACTTCAGTGTAATTGAGCCAGTTGAGTATATTTTGGATCCAAAGGAGAATTGTAGCTTTCAGTATGTGCCTGTTCTTCAAACCTTACAGCAATTGTTGAAAAATGAAGACATTGTGAACAATGTATTGAATAAACATTCAAACATTTCACAGTTGGCATCCTTCCATGATGGCAAATATTTCAAGCTAAATTAATTTCATGCTAATGAAGAGTTCAGAATTTCACTTATACTTTACGTAGACGATTTTGAAATCTGCAATCCTCTTGGAACTTCGCGAAAAAAACACAAAGTTACAGCAGTTTACTGGGAACTTGCTGACGTACCATCTGAACTGAGATCACAGCTAACATAAATCTATTTGGCTCTCCTTTGTAAAGCGAATGATGTAAACAAATTTGGCTATGAAACTGAATTTTTTTGCCTCAGGTTGGTACAAATATCAGAGGTACTGTTTTTTGTGTTTCAGCAGACAATCTTGGTGCTCATTCTTTGGGTAAACTTGTAGAAAACTTTTCTGGACATTATATCTGTAGGTTTTGCATTGGGGACCATTCTGACTATCAGCAAAAGGAAGTGCATTCAGGAGCTTTTCCACCAAGAACAAAAGATAACTATGATTTACATGTTCAGTCTGTAAAAGCAAATCCTGCTCAGGTACACTGTTGTGGTGTGAAGAAAGGTCGTCCCATAACTGGGAAATTAAGTTATTTCCATTTTGTAACAGGGTACCCACCATTACATTACATTGCATTTAGCTGACGCTTTTATCCAAAGCGACTTACAATAAGTGCATTCGACCAAGAAGATACAAACTTGAGGATAACAGAATCATATAAGTACATCAGGTTTCATAGAGCCAAAACATTTCAAGTGCTACTCAACTGGCTTTAGATAAGCCAGTCCTTTATTAGTATATAGTGCTTTGATAGTAATTCTATCACTCGAAGTGGAGTCGAAAGAGATGAGTTTTCAGTCTGCGCCGGAAGGTGTGTATGCTTTCTGCTGTCCTGATGTCAATGGGGAGCTCATTCCACCATTTTGGAGCCAGGATAGCAAACTGACGTGTGTTTGCTGATGGGAACTTGGGTCCCCCTCGTAGTGTGGGTGCAGCGAGCCGTTTGGCTGATGCAGAGCGGAGTGCACGTGCTGGGGTGTACAGTTTAACCATGTCCCGGATGTAGGAAGGGCCAGATCCATTCACAGCATGGTACGCAAGTACCATTGTCTTGAAGTGGATTCCAGCAGTTACTGGAAACCAGTGAAGTGAGCGGAGGAGTGGTGTGGTGTGGGAGAATTTAGGAAGGTTGAAGACCAGACGAGCCACTGCATTCTGGATGAGCTGCAGAGGTCGGATGGCACATGCAGGTAGACCAGCCAGGAGGGAGTTGCAGTAGTCAAGGCGTGAGATGACGAGAGCCTGGACCAGAAGCTGCGTCGCTTTCTGGGTCAGGAGGGGACGTATCCTCCTGATGTTGTAAAGAGTGTATCTGCAGCAGCGGGTTGTAGCAGTGATGTTTGCAGTGAAGGACAGGTTGTTATCTAGGGTCACACCCAGATTCCTTGCAGTCTGAGTCGGGGAAACAACAGAGGTGCCGATGTTGATTGTTAGGTCAAGAGTGGGACAATCTTTTCCCGGAAGGAAAAGCAGTTCAGTCTTGTCAAGGTTGAGCTTGAGGTGGTGAGCAGACATCCACTGAGAGATGTCTGCTAGACAAGCAGAGATGCGTGCGACGACCTGGGTCTCTGAGCGGGGAAAAGACAGAATTAATTGGGTGTCGTCAGCGTAGCAGCGTAGCAGTGGTATAATGTAATGTAATGGTGCCCACCAGATGTTTTACACTATATTTTTGAAGGCATAATTCAGTTGGAATTGGCACTATGTTTTAAATTGTTCGTCCGCAAGTGGTATTTCACCTTGATAGAACTTAACAATTCCATAAATCAATTTCCATACAGATGGACGGATAAAACTGATCATCCCCAACTTATCCCAAGGCAAGGCAAGGCAAGGCAAGTTTATTTATATAGCACATTTCAACACAAGGCAATTCAAAGTGCTTTACAAAAATGAAAGACATTAAGAGCATTAAGAAACATATTATAAAATGATATCTAAAAACACTCATTTAAAAGCAATGATATAAAATGACATTTAAAAACACTCATTTAAAAGCAAAGATACATGAATAAAAGTTACAGTGCAGTGTGAGATACACACATCTGAAATGTTAAGGTCTGACTCTCAATCATTGCTAACTTTTTAGCAGAAATAGTTTTCTATCACCTCCCTTTCTTTCTACTTTCTTGTTTAACTTGTCCTTTAGTTATTTCAAGTGTTTCATGCTAAACGAACCCCCCTTTGGAAAATTATAATAATTTTAGTTTTCGCCGAAACTATTCCTCTTTTTTAGTGGACCTGTCATGCTATATTTGAATAATATATTGTAGTGCCATACCTATATAAGGTATATTTATACGTTTTCTTTTTCAAAATACCAAACAGATCATGCATTTTAGCCATGCCTCATTTCGCTCTATTTTGCTCTCCTCCACCCTGTCTTTGCATGCGCTGCAGCTGACCACGCCCCCCTGCAAAGGAGGGGGCCGATTTACGAGCGTCGTGTTACCATGCTGTTACCATGCCACGGCAACCTCTCATTCCCTTGATAGGTCAGGTCCTCCGTCCTGACGTCGGAGAAATGTTCAAATCTGGATCAGTCTGTATCAGATCCGTTGCAGCCCCGTTTTTAGAGATTTGGGTATGGAGGAAAATAGAGAGGGTTGTGTTTTCTGACACTTGGTGAGTTCCCTGGAACATCGGGGACACATATTCATGTATAAAAGACGTACAAAAGTGCATTTTGCATGATAGGTCCCCTTTAAGTTTACCTTGTCTTTCTAGGACTTTGTTGGTATCCTCCGTGAACCAGGGTCTTGAAACCAAAACGGATTCCTGTACCCCATGGTACCTTTTTAGTTTTCGCCCAAACTATTCCTCTTTTTTTTAGATGCACATTAGTTAAGTTTAAGT